AATGTGCTTTTTTTTTCAGGAAGCACCATCCTAAGCTGACTTTAAACACATTCAGGACACTTTTCCCACTGTATTCTACATCCTGATGCGTTTTCAGGACGTTCTGAAACGTGACCTTTTTTGACAAAAACGACATGCTATAGTATGACTTTTTTATTATTTTATTTAGTTAGCTGTAAACTATGTTAGCTAAAAGCCAGATAACTTGTAGTGTCTCACCCATTCGTCCTCCTCGGCTCCTTCGCCTCCTCCTGCAGGGTTCGGGTTGCTGGCAGCGTTCGCCTTGTTCGCCATTATCTTGTCCGTCCACGAAGCTCCGGCCTTTTCATCTCCAGCAAAGTTGCACTTGGTCACGGTGTGTCCGTCCACTTTGGCCAGCGAGACTGAACGGACGGAGAAAGAACAACACAGACAATAAGAAATAAAACCTTTAGTTAAGTTGTGTTTTTTTAAAGAGATGACAGCAAACCAAGTAAAAACGTGATATTTAGACCTTTAACCTGAAATATCACTATCAGGAATTATTCTGTATTTATTTAAATTTTTGAAAATAAAATAAGCCAAATTGACCGCCAGCAACGTCTCTTTGCTTCATGCCGTCAAATGTGCCAAAAGCTGTCACTGAATTACTTTAAAAAACAAAAGAAATCTTAAAATCCAAAGATTTTCAGGCAACTTCTGACCGGAGTTCTGGTGTGGTTCTGACTCGTCACAATGCAGCAGCTCACGTCAAGCTGGTAGAAATGTATAAAATAAAAATAGACGGAATCACCAGAGAAACAAAAAGCAGGATATTGAGCTTTTCTGGCTGAAAATGTGTAAAATTAGAGGCTGTGAACAAACCGAAGCACAACTATTGAATATCAAAGGTCTGGACGTCTCCCGTGGACGTCAGAGAGGCTGAACTCTGCTCACTCCTCCTGAGGTTACTGAGGAAACCATGAAAGAAACCAGAAAGCACAACTCAGGTTAGATTTCATTCGGTCTTCCTGCAGCAGGTCAGCGCCGGGGCAAAGTTAATCAGAGTGGAGACCAAGAAAACCAAAAGAAGCTGCAGCAGAGCTCATTGCTCTGAACTCTGAGGGCTGAATGTGACATAAAGCCACACTAGATGCTGGTTATTTCAGACCACATTGACTCTCCTTCAAATCAGCCGGAGACTTGATTTTTATTGATCCTCGATTAGATTGTCTTGGTTTAACCCTCTGAACCGACAAAATGATCATGAAGAGACAAGACAACGACAAAAAAATGCCACAATAACGCACAATAAATGGGTCAGAAACAGTGAACAGAGGAGCCAGTCGTTGGAGATACATTCAGCTGATGGTGGAACATCTGTCTACGGCTGATGAGCAGAGCAGAGAGGAAACATGGAGATAGCTAAACATCTACAGTGTGTGCAGATAAAATGATGGGACACAGAACGACCAAAACGAGACTGAAAATGGCAAAGATGAGACACAAAATGAGAAAAAAACAGCAACAAAAACACGACACAAAAGACCCAAAGAAGAAACTGATCAACCACAAGAAGACACAAAACAGTCAAAACGAGTTGCCGAGCAGCGCAGAGCGGTCACCATGGAGACACTCACAGATGAAGGGACCGTCTCCTCTGGTCTTCAGCCGGACCTCCTGACCCGTCTCCAGCTCTGTCTTGTCCATCTCCTCCTCTGGGTACCAGAAGGCCCAGGTCCCGGCGGGTCGGTGCCGCTCGGTGATCTTCACCAGCTCGGGTTTGTTCACCACCGCCGACAGCTGCTCCTCAGACAGACGGTCCGACTCGCCCTTAGCCTCCACCTCTGCAGACACAAGACGCAGGAGAAGGATTCTGATTCTCGGATGAAGGTAAAACGTCTTCAGGAAACAAAAACTGATGTTTGCTTTTACACTGAAACCTGCCTCCTTCACTGTAGTGCTGACTTGACATTTTTTCCAAATATGGTATTTCCTGCTGCTCATCCAGCATTGGTGGTTCAGTGGTAGAATTCTCGCCTGCCACGCGGGAGGCCCGGGTTCGATTCCCGGCCAATGCACACACAGCTTTAACTGAATCCAGTGGTCAATACTCAGCTGTTAAGGCCTTGGCTATACTGACAACACAGACAGACTTGTGAACAATTTGATTTGCGGCCAATAATCGGCGGGTTTTGCTGGTAGGTGATTCAGTGTGTTCTTAGTTAGCTGCTGTTTGTGTGCTGAGATCCAAAGCAGCAGCTGTTGCAGCTGAAAACGAAGCTCTGCATGATACCTCTAATGAGGAACGTTTCCAGTTCATACATTTTTACTGTGACATTTCAGTTATAACCACTTGAGGGTTTCAGATGCACAGCTGGCGAACACCAGATGTGTCTTTAATATGCTTCAGCTCATCCTTACACCTGCTCATCAAGATTGTTCACTAAAGGATTCAGGTAAAGGCTGTGTGTGCATTGGCCGGGAATCGAACCCGGGCCTCCCGCGTGGCAGGCGAGAATTCTACCACTGAACCACCAATGCTGGATGTGCAGCAAGAAATACCATATTTGGAAAAAATGTCAAGTCAGAAGTACAGTGAAGGAGGCAGGGATCAGTTTGAAAGAAACAAAACACAACATGAGCTCAAAAATGAGATGAAATGATTAGAAAAAGGCCACAAAGACACATTAGATGAGCACAAAGGAAGCAAAATGCCAAAAGCTACACAGAAATGTTCGCTGTTTTGTCGTACTTTAATTTTTTATGTTTTTTCCAAATATGGTATTTCCTGCTGCTCATACAGCATTGGTGGTTCAGTGGTAGAATTCTCGCCTGCCACGCGGGAGGCCCGGGTTCGATTCCCGGCCAATGCACACATACAGCTTTAATTGAATCCACTGATCGATACTTGGCTCTATTGTGAACACAGACAGACGTGTGAACGATTTGATTTGCGGCCATAAATTGTGGATTCTTTGCTGGTAGGTGATTTAATGTGTTCCTAGTTAGCTGCTGTTTGTGTGCTGAGATCCAAAGCAGCAGCTGTTGCAGCTGAAAACGAAGCTCTGCATGATGCCTCTCATACACTTTTACTGTGAAATCCCAGTTATAGCTGATTCAAGGTGATGCACAACTGGAGACCACCAGATGGATCTTTATTATGCTTCAGCTCATCTAGAGGTACTTTTAATTGTTGACTATAGGAATCAGTTAAAACCGCACATGCATTGGCCGGGAATCGAACCCGGGCCTCCCGCGTGGCAGGCGAGAATTCTACCACTGAACCACCAATGCTGGATGAGCAGCAGGAAATACCATATTTGGAAAAAATGTCACTTCAATACCAAAACTTCAGGTACTTAAAAACCGTCACCATGGAAACCACATCCTCCAGCAGTTTCATTATGAAGCCCGTAAACACCTCCATTAAACTCGTTGACATCACGAGCGCTGGACTGGAACATGTCCCAGTTGATGTCACTCAGTAGGGGTGGTGACTGTATTGATTTTTCCAAATATGGTATTTCCTGCTGCTCATCCAGCATTGGTGGTTCAGTGGTAGAATTCTCGCCTGCCACGCGGGAGGCCCGGGTTCGATTCCCGGCCA